TTTTTTTTTTTTTTTTTTGTCTTTTTTTTTTTCTCATGTCCGGCAACGGATCGCAACCCTCAGTGTTGCCCCCGTACCGGACCGGGGACCGGCAACGGGATTGCAACCCTCGGTGTTGCCCCCGCGCCTCGCTCAGCCAGTGAGCGGGAACCGGTCTGTATGTGGGATCCGACCCCTCGGGCGGGAGCGCCGCCGCGCTTCCGAAGCGGTGCACTATCCAGTGTGCCACCGGGCCGGCCCCTGGAACAGTTTAAAGAAGTATGAGGAACGGAAGTCCTGTGCAACTGGGCAACCAGTAACACACTAAAGGAAGCCAAGATGGGCTCACCTCGGTACTGGTAGAGATGGGTGCCCATAATTGGGCGCCGCCACAGCTTAAAGTGTTTCTTCTCCATCACCATTTCCCATGGTTGCTCTTTGTCCTCCAAATCTTCATTCCCTTCTGTTTGGGACTTTGGTTCTGGAGGGTGGCACTCAACTCCAGAGCTCTGAAACATATTTGACATTTCCTCTAACCGTTTCATCTCATTAATGGATCTAGAAAGGAGAAAAACAAGCATGGTGCAGGTGGTTAGTCTGCCCTGTGAAATGAAGTGTCTACATAAAGACTTGCATAAGAATGGCATGGGTTTAAAACAGTATATAATGCAGTAAATAAAAACTGTGTTCTTGAGTTTGAATCCCAATCCAACAGTCATTAACTAGATTATTTAACTAGTTCCTATTTCTAAATCTATAAAATAGAGATGATAATAGTACCTACCTCAAGGTTGGATGTAAAGACTATGAATAAACTTACATGTAAAATGCTTATTACTACCTGGCACATAATTAGCCCTCAAATGTTAACTGTTAAGGTTTATATTTGTGAAATATCATTTGATACCTTTTGCCCATTTTCTATTGGGTTGTCTTCTTATTACATTGTAAGAGTATTTGTGTTTTTCCTCCTCGTTTTAAAATTGATATAATTCAGGGCCGACCCCGTGGTGTACTCGGGAGAGTGCAGTGCTGGGAGCGCAGCAGCACCCCCGCCGCGGGTTCGGATCCTATATAGGGATGGCCGGCGCGCTCAGACTGGCTGAGCGCGGTGCGGCCAGTCTCAAAAAGGACAAAAAAAGAACATTCAGGTTGCTTCCACTTTCTAGCTATTACGAATATTACTATGAGCATTCATGTACAAGTTTTTGTGTAGACATACGTTTTCAATTCTCTTGGGTAGATTCCTAGGAGTGGCTTGCTGGGTTATGGTAACTTTTTGAGGAACTGCCATACTGTTTTCCAAAGCAGCCGCACCATTTTATATTCACACCACCAATGTATGAGGGTTCTAATTGTTCCACATCATTGCCAATACTTGTTATGGTCCTTTTTTTTATACTAGCCATCCTAGTAGGTGTGAAGTGGTATCTCATTGTGGTCTTGATTAGTATTTCCCTAATGACTAATAATGTTCAGCATCTTTTCATATGCTTATTGGCTATTTGTGTAACTTTAAAGAAATGTCTATTGAAATCTCTTGCCTGTCTTTAAATTGGGTTATTTGTTTGGATCCCCATGCTGGCCAGCCACCAACCAACCAACCAACCAACCAACCAACCAACCAACCAACCAACCAACCAACCAACAACAGAAAGAAAAAAATAAATTAGGTTTTTGTTTGGATCCCCATGCTGGCCAGCCACCAACCAACCAACCAACCAACCAACCAACCAACAACAGAAAGAAAAAAATAAATTAGGTTGTCATTTTACTGTTAAGTTTTTAATAGTTCTTTATATAATATTGTGGATACTAGTACTTTATCAGACATATGATTTATAAATATTTTTTCATTCTGTGGGTTGCCTTTTCAATTTCTTGATAGTATCCTTTATTTATTTTTATTAGCATTTTTTCATTCTGTGGGTTGCCTTTTCAATTTCTTGATAGTATCCTTTATTTATTTTTATTAGCATATTCACTGTTACAAATCATACTTATTTTTTATGTCCTTTATCCAATCTCTTCCCTTCCCCTCCCCCCTCTAATAACCATAGATTTGTTCTCTCCATCTGATAGATTAACTATTCCTCTGTTGGTTTATTGCCTAGATGATCTGTCCAGTACTGAGACAGGTGTAATCAAGTCCTCCCCTACTGTCGTAAATCAGATGCTTCTTCTATTATTCTGGAGTGTATCTTGTGGAGAGAGAGGACCTCTTTTTTGGGGGGGCGGGGGAGGTCTCCACTGGTGCGTCTCCTTGTGTCAATATAGTTGAGAGTCTGGTGTGCCATCTATCCAGTGGCTGTGACTGCTGCTATAGACTAGCTGCTTTTGCAGCAGTCATGGCAATTGTGGTGGCTATGGTGGGCTACCTACATGAAAATGGTGTTTCTGGTGTGCTCTTTACTTGCTTGCAGCTGTGTTCGGCTTCCCCTGGCTCCATGCCTCAGGTGCCCAGCAGGGTTGATAGTACCCTTTGATGCATAAAAGTTCTTAATTTTGATAAAGTCTAACTTAATTATTTTTTCTTTGATTGCTTAGGTTTTTGGTGTTACATCTAAGAAACCGCTGCCTAACCCAAGATGACAAAGACTTATGCCTATACTTTCTTCTAAGTTTTATAATTTTAGCTTACATTTAGGTTTTTGACCCATTTTAATTTTTGTGTATGATGTGAAGTAGAGAGTCTACATGCATTCTTTTGTATGTGCATCTCCAGCTATCCCAAAGCCATTTGTTGAAATGACTATTCTTTCCCCATTCAATCCTCTTAACACCCTTATTGAAAATCAATTGACCAAAAATATAAGGGTTATTCTGGGCTCTCAATTTTGTTCCAACAATCTCTATGTCTATTCTTATGCCAGTGCCATAGTGTCATCATTCCTGTAGCTTTATAATAAGTTTTGAAATTGGGAAGGGTGATTCCTCCAACCTTTGTTCTTTTTCAAGATTGTTTTGGCTATTCTGGGTCTCTTTCACCAGGATTGGCTTGTCAATCTCTGCAAAACAGCCAGCTAGGATTTTGATATGGACTGTGTTAAATCTGTAGATCACTATGGTTAATATTGAGATCTTTACAATATTAAGTGTTCTAATCCATGAACATAGGATGTCTTTCCATTTATTTATGCCTTTTCAAATTTCTTTCAATGATGTTTTGTAGTTTTCAGTGTAAAAATCTCACACTTCTTTAAATTTATTCCTAAGTATTTTATTCATTTTTTTTTTTTTTTTTAAATGACCGGTAAGGGGATCTTAACCCTTGACTTGGTGTTGTCAGCACCACGCTCAGCCAGTGAGTGAACCGGCCATCCCTATATGGGATCCAAACCCGGGGCATTGGTGTTATCAGCACCGCACTCTCCCGAGTGAGCCACGGCCGGCCCCTATTTTATTCTTTTTGATGCTATTGTAAATGGAACTGTTTTCTTAATTTCATTTTCAGATTGCTCACTGTATAGAAATTTGATTTTTTTGTATATTAGTCTTGTATCCCGAAACCTTGCTGAACTTATTAAGTCTGCTTTCTATAGATTCCATAGTACAGATCATGTCAGCTGCAGATAGTTTTATTTCTTCCTTTCCAATCTGGATGCCTTTCATTTCCTTCTTGCCTAATTTCCCTGGCTACATCCTCCAGGTTGAATAGAAGTGGCAGGAGCAAACATCCTTGTCTCGTTCCTGATCGTAGGAGAAAAGCTTTCGGTCTTTCACCATTAATTATGTTGTTGGCTATGTTTTTCATAGATGCCCTTAATCAGTTTGGGAAAAAAAATTTTTTTTTAAAAATCCAGAAATCTTTGATTTTTTTTTTAATACCTATTATGCCATGAATTCATAAGGAATAGGTTCCAGTAGCTCAGGCTTCTTTCCATAGGTTCTCACAAAGTATGCTCCTCTAGGTGGAGCAGGCTGGCATTTCAGTTGAACCCAGGTACCTTCCTTTTGGCTTCCTTCTTTTTCTGATCATTGTCCTTCAAGTTTCAGGAAGCTGTCTCGGCTCTTAGCATGCTTAATATACTCAATACATACATTAGTTCTCTTGGCAAGAATACTGCCCTTAACTTGTTCACAACAATGCCAACAGCATGCTTGGTAACACTATAGACTCTTTGAGTTTTGCCATGGTAACATCTGTGGGGCATTCCTTTTTTATTTTTTGTGACCAGTAAGGGGATCGCAACCCTTGGTTTGGTGTCATCTGCACCGTGCTCAACCACTGAGCGCACCGACCACCCCTATATAGGATCCGAACCCGCGGCGGGAGCACTGCTGTGCTCCCAGCGCCACACTCTCCTGCACTCTCCCGAGTGCGCCACGGGGTCGGCCCAGGGGGCATTCCTTTTTGAACAGTACCTATTCCCTTGATGGCTACAATATCACCTTTCTTAATGTTTCGCATATATCTGATCAAAGGAACTCCATGTTTTCTAAAAGGCCTAGAGAATATATATTGGGTGCCTCTCTTTTTCTTTGTGTTTATTTTATTTATTTATTTTTGTCCTTTTTGAGACCGGCCACACCGCGCTCAGCCAGTGAGCGCACCTATGGTCATCCCTATATAGGATCCGAACTCAACCAGTGAGTGCGGCGGGAGCGCTGCTGCACTCCCAGTGCCGCACTCTCCCGAGTGCGCCACGGGCTCGGCCCCCCAGTCTGTTTTTTTTAAATCATGAAAGATGGCAGGAATTTGTCAAGTGCTTTTTCTGTGTCCATTCAGATAATTATGAGGTTTTAATTCTTTACTCTACTAATGTGGTATATTATATTAAATTGATTCATTTTTACATGATGAACCAACCTTGCTTTCTTTGGATAAATCCCACTTGTTTATAGCATATAATTCTTTTTATATGTTGCTGGATTCAGTTTGTTAGCATTTTGTTCAGAATTGCATGAAGTTTTAAAACATACAAAATACATTATAATTATACTATGTATCACTATCATTTAGGGGTGTATACATATATATAAAAACACAGATGGGGATGATATAAAACAAAATGGGATAATGATTATATCTGGGGGAGAGAGGAGAATTCAACTGGAAACGTGTACAAAGGAAGATTTATTATAGTTATTAAAAAATTTTTTTTGGTGTTTTTTTTTTCTGTTGTACTTATTTCACTTCTTTAAATATAAGTGTATTTGTAACATTCATGTTATTCTTTAAACATTTTTATACATCTGAAACATTTTACAATAAAATTTTTAAAGTAAAACATGGCTTGTATTTTTCCCGTAACCTTTAATTAGCAGATAGGAAAGAAAAATTGCTGGCTCTCTATGTCATATACTACTCTACTGTGATTCAAGACTGAAGAAGACCCCAATTACAGATACACTGTGCCTGTAATGCCTTTCCACTCCTCTTCAACCTTCAAAAATAACACAAGGTTCAAGGGTAACTTCTAGGCAGAGTTAACCATGTGCATTTACCTCCTTTATTTACCTTTATAGAGACACATATCACATTACACTATAATTAACCTATCTTTATATCTGCCCCCCCTTACCAAACTATGAATTCCCTAATGGCCCAGAA